CCCGGTGCCTTTTTTTTTTTTAATCTGCTTGGCTTTTCATATCTGTGGCTAAGTTTTCTCACCCTCCCTACATCTCTAAATCATGTCTCTTTGTCCAATTCTGCATAATTTTCAGATTATCAATCAGTTTCGCTGTTTCTTTTGTCCTTAGGGATAGCTTTTCCTGGTGCCTTCTTTTTTTTTTGTTTGTTTTTTGTTTTTTTTTTTTTTTGAGACGGAGTTTCGCTCTTGCTACCCAGGCTGGAGTGCAATGGCGCGATCTCGGCTCACCACAATCTCCGCCTCCTGGGTTCAGGCAATTCTCCTGCCTCAGCCTCCCGAGCAGCTGGGATTACAGGCACGCACCACCGTGCCCAGCTAATTTTTTGTAATTTTAGTAGAGACGGGGTTTCACCATGTTGACCAAGATGGTCTCGATCTGTTGACCTCGTGATCCACCCGCCTCGGCCTCCCAAAGTGCTGGGATTACAGGCTTGAGCCACCGCGCCCGGCCCCCTGGTGCCTTCTATCTTCTTGCCCCAATTTGGACTGGTTGCTCTCTAGGCCCGCTGCAAAACTGCAATACTGGAACTTCCTTTTGGCAACCTCTTGGGAGTTCCTCTCTCCTTTGTTGAATTCCTGGTTTCCTGAATCCCATGTCTCCTTCTTTCCAAGTTTACTCCTTAATTTTGGTGGAGCATTTCTCCAGTGCTTTCTAAGACAGGGCACATGGGAAGTACACATTGAACTTTTATGCATATTAAAATGTTTTTATTTTACTCTTTCATTTGATTGATAGTTTGGTTAGGTATAGAATACTAAGCTGGGTGTGTTTTCCTTCAGAAGTTGGAATGCAATGCTTCATTTTCCTCTAGCTTATGATGTTAGTACTTGAGTAGTCAGATGTGATTCCAATTGAATGTGATTGCCTTCACCCCATTTTTTTTTTCATCTGGGGAAGTTTTAGAGTCTTCCTATTATTCTCAATGTTCTAAAATTTTTTCAATGATATACCTTGATTTATGTCTGCATTTGCTGTATTGAGCATTCAGTGAATTATTCAAATCTGGAAACAAACATTCTTCAATTCTGAGAAATTCTGTCATATTATTACTTTGATTTTTTTCTTTTCTCTTTAATCTTTCATCTTTCTGAATTAAGATATTGGAACTGCTGGATGGATCCTTTAATTTTATTTTTTTCAATTTGCTCTTTTTTTGGTCCTTTTGCTCTACTTTCTGTGTACTGATTACTCCTTGTTTTTTTTTAAATGGCAGTCTATTTCTGTTTTATAGATGCAATATCTTTTAAAAAACTCTACTTGAGAATATTATAGAGGCTTTTTAAGAAGTTAAACTTCTGCTATCTGCATCATTTCTCTTTCCCAGGCATTTAGTTTTCAGTTTTTTTCAATCTGCTAAGTCTGTCATAAAGAGTTAAATAAAGCCAAGTTACTCAATAAAAATAAGGTTGTCAGGAACAACTCCAACAGAGAACTTCTTAAGACAACCAGTGCTGATCAGCATGTTTCCAAGGTTCATTAACAGAATTAACAAGTCATTAAGGTACACATTAATTAAAAGATGGTGAGAAGCTTGTCTCTATTTCCACTGAAAACAGAGAAGGATAAAACAGCCTTAGGATACAAAATGAGTAATATTTTACATAGGGGGGAATCAAATAGAGTGGATATGTATGCTTTGGTCTGCTCAGCTGTTCCTTCGGAAAACCTTTTCCTTCTTCACACTTTCACCTACGTGGTTGTACCAATAACTACCACAATATATGCCTTTGTCCAACACTTGCTTGACTAGTCCAGGGGTGGAAATCTGATCCAATGTGACTCAATCACAGCTCTTCCCTATGGAATTTTTAAAACTGAAACTGAAAAAAGGGACCAGTATATTTCTGATCACTCAAACCCTAAGATAAAGAAATTGAGAGCTTTTAGGAAACATAAGCCTGAGAAGCAGAGATCTGTACTGGAAACCTGCAGAGACACACAGGTAGATTCACAGAGAAAAGCGATCACTGAAGAAGAGAGTTTCAGAGGCATAAGAATCAGTTGTCCTGAGCTCAGTCTCATCTCTGTTCTAGCAATCTCAGTATCCTCATTAAATTCCTCTTTTGGCTTAAGCTAGTTTGAATTGGCCTCTGTACTGCAATAAAAAAAGTCTCTAGCTCACTTTATTTGATGCATTCTGTGAATCAGGCACTGTGCTAATAGTTTATTTATTTATTATGCTTTAAGTTCTGGAGTACATGTGCAGATCATGCAGGTTTGTTATATACTTTATCTCATTAAATCTTCACAACTTGTAAGGTTGGTGAAATTATTTTTCACATAAGAAAACGTTAGAGATCTAACTATTATATAATAGATAACTCTACCTAGATGTTCCACAGGTGTGTAAAAGAGAACCATTTCTCTCTCTATTTTTTTTTTTTTTTGAGACGGAGTTTCGCTCTTGTTACACAGGCTGGAGTGCAATGGCGTGATCTCAGCTCACTGCAACCTCCGCCTCCTGGGTTCAGGCAATTCTCCTGCCTCAGCCTCCTGAGTAGCTGGGATTACAGGCACGCACCACTGTGCCCAGCTAATTTTTTTGTATTTTTAGTAGAGACGGGGTTTCACCATGTTGACCAGGATGGTCTTGATCTCTTGACCTTGTGATCCACCCGCCTCGGCCTCCCAAAGTGCTGGGATTACAATTTCTCTATCTTTAAAAGAGGAAAGGCTATATTCACTGCCGGAGATGCTCTTCTCTCTACACACGCACAGCCAACTCCTTCTTACCTTGATGTGTCAGCTTAAATGTCATCAGATAAGAGTATCCCACCTTCTCAATCTAAAGTAGGTTCCCTGGTGGTACCTTGTTATTTTCATTACTAGCAACTGTAATGACATATTTCATATTTTGTTTTGTTCTGTTCTCTCACATGGTATATACTATGAATTCCATTATACGTTCCTGCATATCAACATTATTTTCCATTATAGGCCCTGCATCTAGCATAGATCCTGAAATATGGAAGGTGCTCCATAATATGTGCTTGAATAAATTAAAGACTTCTAAATGTTTTCTTTCATATATTGATGAGGCTATACTCACTATGTTTCAACAACTGTTCATTGAGTGACTGGTATATGCAAATCACTGTGCTAGGCCTGTTGAGAAAAAGCCAAACCCAATTAATTCCTCACCAGGCCTAGCACAATGCCTTGCACAAAACAGTATACAGTATAGTATAAAGCCCAGAAAGAGGAATAATGATAATACAAGTGGAGAAATGTTAGAACAGAGATATGAACAAAGTGCTGCAGTTGCAAAGAAGGAAGTAGTTAAGATACGATCCAAGAAGTTAAAGTCAGAAAAAGAAAGGAATTTCCAGGGTTCAAATTTTCACATTTTTTATAATGTCTCTATTTTGATATAGCTGTACTTTATATCTGCTTCTAATTTACAATACCTGGAGTAGAAGTCCTAGTAAATATGTTCTCAAGTAGAGATGGATGAAAAACATATTTCTCTTGAATCTTATGTTCATCCTTACACTAGCTCTATCTCCACATCACTGTAAAGACACTGGGCCTGGCCTCCTGCCTCAGCCCAAGCCACTCCAAAAGATTTCAGGACTATATTACACATCAAGTTTTTCTTCCTTCCGCACCACCAGATCTGCTTTCCCTGAAGCTGAGATTAGAGGACGATGACTTTTGAGCCCTTTTAACACTCAGAGGTGTCTCACATGTTCTCATTACAATGAGTGGCTCATGGACAACTACCTTTAGTCCTGTAACTTCTGTCTGATGACTGTCTTCTCTCCTGCTGATCTTTAGCCAGGTGATTCACCCCAACACAGGTTAGGGAACATTGCTCTAGTTAAGTTCCAGAATAAATTTCTTCTTCCTTTTTAAAAAAATATCTCCCTTACATCTTTGTCAGAAACACTTCAATAAAACCTTCTTTTGGGATTTGCATGTGTATGTATGTGAATGAATTGGGTTCAACAGTAGGGTTGCCAAATAGTGAAAGCCTAGAAAGGATGCCACGGGGGAAAGATGTAGATAGTACGTAACTGCGTACCTTTTTAATCTTAGTATTTTAAATATTCAACACCATTGCCATGTAGTTACATCATGTTCATCAGACCCCCCTTCCCCCCAAAAAACTCTTTCCTAAATCAACCCCTCTTGTACTGACTTCCAAGAACTATGAAATGAAAAAAAAATTAAAGCAACTACAAAATTAAGATAAATATTTTCCTTTTAAACCAAAAGCTTGCTTCATCCATTGAGTCATCGAATATCACTGGTATCCATCTGAGAGGCCAGTTTTGCATATTGGTCAAGAGTGCCAGCTCTGAAGGCAGAAGGATTCTACTTCTGCCATGTACAAGCTTCCTGTTCTCAGACGCCTTACTTACCTCCATGTGTCTTAGTCCCTTCATCTTTAACATTAATGTAAGTAAATATTAGAATTATCTCACAGGTTGTCGTCAGAATTAAAGATAATGTATGTATGGTGCTTAGGAGTATTTGAAACTACACCAGTACACTTAGTCTTTACCTTAATTTTCTTTCAGCACCAAGGTCAACGTCAAATATTTGGAAGGACATTGAAATTTCCTAAAAGTGAAATTGTATATGACGTAATTAAATTCTATTTCAGTGTATCCTGTACTTCTAACTATAGAAACAGGGAGACGAATAAACAGAGTATCAGAACCTCAACATTGGTAGGGGACAAATCCCATCCTTCGTATTCTCCAAAGTGACTTACAGAACGCTAACTCCTTGCGTGTGGACAGGCGTCCCAAATTTTAGTTCGCGGTCATTTTTAAAACCCCGCAGGGAGCTATAAGCCCGGGTGTTGGCCAGCTCTAAGCTCCCACCGTCGCTGATCTCTCAATGTCCTTCCTCTCGGGTTGGTTACCCAGCCCGGCCTCCTGCAGTCCTCGAATCTTCGTCCTCTCCCGCCCCTCGCCTGCAGTGCCCGCGGAGTCGGTGCGCCCCACTGCGCATGCTCGTTGCCGCGCCGGTTGGGAGCGCCGGGGCCGGGAGGCGGGCACCCGGCGCAGGTCCCTCGGGGCAGGGGAGGCTTGGGCCTGACGCCGGCCACGCAGCGGCGGGAAAGCGAGCACCCAGGCGGCGGCGTCCTGGAGACCCGCGAGAGATGGAAGCGGCGGCGACGCCGGCGGCGGCCGGGGCGGCGGGGCGCGAGGAGTTAGGTCGGTGTTGCGTGTGGGCAGGGACCCGGGGGTCTGTGCGGCTGCCCTGTGTGTCCCGGCCTCCCGGGGCCCTGCGCTCGGCCAGGGCCAGAAGGAAGGCGGACCCGGCCCCGCACCCGCTGTCTGTCCGCATCCGGGTTTCAGAGGAAGAGGTGTGGGGCCGAGTGGGCGGCTGTGTCTGTGTGTGTGTGATGGCTCTTGAGATTGTGGGACTGGCGCGGGTTCGAATTTAAGTCCAGCAAACAAAACTGTGGCGGGTTTGGGATGAGCTTCTGAGGCCTGATTGCTAACTGACCCCGGGGTCAGCGTCTGCAGAGGAGCCGGGTATCTGACCCTAGAGATTGGTCAGGGGAAGCCCGGGCCTGCATAGGGCGTGAGAGAGAGAGAAAGAGAGAGAAGAGAGGAGAGAGGAGAGAGAGAATGTGTGTGTCATTGTGTGTGTGTGTCACTGTGTGTGTCACTGTGTGTATGTGTGTGTGGGGGGGGGGGGGGGGCGGAGCCCTGTACGCGTCAAAGACGTGAGAGCCTGCCCCGAGACACAGTTTTTTTCCCAGTGATGCTTTAAGGAAGTTATCAGTGTTCTGCTTTTCAAATGCCGCAGCCCCACTCACAATTTCCAGATGAATCCTTATTTTACCGCTTGTTATCCTGGGGGTGTCGAACAGGTCGTGCTGACAATAATGAATAGGAGATACCTGTAGCTAGCTCACTTGGCAAAGTTTGTTGGTTTTCCTGCTTTCCTCGGATCTTGTTTCTTGGCGACAGGGCGTGTTTGTTTACGGTTTCCCGCTGTCCAAAATAAAACAAAAGTAAGAATCAGGGTGATAAAATGATCCCTCTCCCAGTTATATGTACTATACTTGGGAGTATTTTTCATTCAGTACTGATTAAATGTAATTAAAAGACTAAATCTAAATGTAATTTTCAAGAAAAGGATTGAACTTTATAAAATACTGTATTATAAGTAACTGATAGATTGTTGCTCCTCTTATAACCTGCAGGGAGGGCACTTTGCAATGGAATTTTTTCAGGTAGTACGTAATAATGATAGAAACAATAAACGTTTTATTGCATGCTTACTGTGTGAAAACACTGTGTTAAGTGCTTTACCTGTGCAATCTCTTTAATCCTCACAGCAATTGGGATAGGTGCTATTATGATCTCCATTTTATAGTAATTTTAAGCTTATTAATGGCAGAATCCAAATGTGAACTCAGGTTTATCTGACTGTTTTAAATTCATTAATAACCTGTGTTTGTGAGGATATGGAGAAATGGGTATTCTCATGCACTGCTGGTAGGAAATGGAAAACATATTTATCCCTAAAAATGTATATATCTTTTGACCCAGCAATTCTACTTCTAGAATATTTCCCGAGGAAATAAGTAATGTAACAAATATTTATATCAAGAGGTTTTCATTATAGTATACATGGAAAAGCTGTTAACTATGTAGAGTACAATGAAAGGAAACTGGTTAAATGTGGTGTATCTGTATACTGCCTACCATTAAAAGTGATATGGAAAGATGTTCATGTACGTTCTTTAACTGAAAAAAGTTTCAAATTATTTCAGGTTTTTAAAAGTTTTATGTATTCATTAATTCAACACATATTCGTTGAGCTCTTAGGCACTTGAAATACATCATGAGCAAAACAGATAAAAGTTCTCTTCTTATGGAGCTTGTATTTAGTAAGCGAAAGCAGAGAATAAGCAGTAAAGACAATAACCAGTTAATTATATAGTATGTTAGGTGAAAAGTTCTATGAAAAACAAGATCAGGGTAAGGGAAATCAGGAATGGGGAGGGGCTGGGCAATTTACAATATTTTATAAAGTGGTTTGGATGGGCCTTATTGAAAAGGTACAATTTAAGTAAAGACTTGGAAAAGGTAAGGAAGGAAATTAGCTAAGTGGATAAATGGGGAAAGACTACTCCAGGTAGAAAGAACGACTAAAGGAATAACAAGGAGACCAAAGTGGCCGAAACAGAGTGATGGAAGTGGCTATGGGGCCAAATTATTTAAGGTTTTATAGGTAATGTAGTCTGTGACTTTTACCCTGAGGGAAGAGTGGACCAATGCAGGGTTTGAACAGAGGAGTGGCATGATCTGGCTTGTTTTAAAAGGACTGTATTGGCTGCTACGTGAAGAATAAACTGTAAGGGGACCAAAGTGAAACCAGGAGAATATTTCAGCAAAGATATATGGGTGTCCTTCACAGCAGTATGGTAGTAGTGGCAGTGGAAGTGAATAGACATAGTTACCTTTTAGGTATAGTTTGAAAGAACCAATGTGATTTTCTAACAGAATGGATGAGGGTTAGAGAGTAAAACAAGATACATGGAAGACTCCAGAAACCTGCATATTAGAAGAATTAAATTGTTATTAACTGGGATATTATGGTGGTTTTGTAATATACCTACAGATTCTTTGATGTTTCTCTCTAAAGGAGGAGAAACTTAATTTCCTTCCTTTCAAGCGAGGACTGGACTTAGTAACTTGTATCTAATGAATAGATTATGTTAGAAGTGATGATGTATGACTTAAATACTAGTTAATAAAGTACATTGTGCCTTCCTCCTTGCTTTCTCTTTTTGAATCACTCATTGAAGGAAATCAAGCTGCCATGTTGCAAGGAGACCCACGTGGCCCTAAGGAAAGCTCGATGTTGCACAAAACTGAGGGCTCCTGACAATAGCCATAAATTGTTATATGGCAATAGATAACTAGTACTGATGGTTAAAGTTGCAGGAATAGCAGACCTGCTGGTGAAGACCAGTTCAGTTTGGGACATGTTAAGTTTGAGATGTCCATTAGATATCAAAGTGCAGATGTCAGGTAGGCAGTTAGATTTATGTCTAGATTGCTGAGAGGTCTGGTCTAGAAATATAAATTTGGATGTTATCAGCATATAGATAGTATTTAAAGCTAGGAGACAGAATGAGAACATATGAGAGTTGTTTGTGTTTATGTGTGTGTGCATGAATGCACACATGTGTGCCTCAATGCACACATGTGTGCCTCTGAACATGTACTCTAAAATGTTAACAGTAGTAATTTCTGGGTAATGAATAACTCTTAATTTCAAAAATGTTGTTTATATATTTTCTGATTTTCTACAATGACAAAATGTTACTTAACTTAAAAAAAGAATTTCCAAAAATGTATATTTATGTGAAAATCACTGGTGGAGATGCTAAGATACAGGTTCTTGTAAGGTATATAAAAGGTCTGAACTTTATTTCATAGCCCATGGGAACCTTTGGAAGGTTTCTTGCTGTGAATATTTCCTTCATCTCAGAAATGAACAAAATAGTTATGGTTCTTATTTAATATCTAGATAGTAATTTATAGACTTGGGTGACAATATTATGTTATTTTTAAAAAATGAAACTATTTCTCCTTTCTTTTAGTTTTTCTATTGCCAAAATACAAGTGATTTTAAAATTTTATTATAAAAGTAATGCAAGTTTGCTGCTACTACTTTTTTAAAAAACATTTTTCAGAGAAAGAAAAGTGCACTAATGATCCCATTGTCCATCTATATCCTCGTAAACTTATTCACATTTTGAAATATTTACTTTCCCTTATTTCTACTTAATTTTTTAAAGCATAATCATATTGTAAATATTCAACTTTTTCTTACTTAGCAGATGATGCTCTTTTCCCTGTTTACTCAAGACTTCACAACCATAATTTAATGTCGGTGCAATACTTCGTAAAGTGAATGTGCCAGAGTTAATTTACTAATTTCCTGATTGCTCCACATTTAGATTGCTTCCCAATTTTCAACATCACTAGTGTTTTAATTAACATTCTTGTACAAAATTCTCTTCTGCATATACTGGCTTGCCAGAATTAGAATTACTAGGCAAAAGAAATATATATTTTTAAGCCTTTCATACATATGATATTGATAAATTAATGTGATTTTAGAATATTCTGTCTACAACTTGAAATTTATGTTGGTTTTAGGCTTGAAAATTGAGGTTCAAACAATTTTCTGGGCAAATAAGAGGGCATACAAGCACTGACTAATTTAAGAATGTTCCATTTATATGCACCATTAATGTATCCTTATGGTGTACTATGTAATATACCTAATATCAGATATATGGTATATAATCAATGTTATATAACATTGAATCAGCTAGTGTTTCTTATTTATCTATAATTTTTCCTCACATAAATAGCTAGCATATCTATTCCTTAGTAGTATTTTAGTTTATAAGGCACCATTAATTTTTACCAGTACTAATCACGGCATTTTCCAGAGTTGTCCAATTTAGTACTTAGCCAAAAATTACAGCAAAACATTAGGAAAATAATAGACATTGTATGTAATGTAAATTGGGTTGTATAATTTTTAATCCCTTTGGGATGTCAGTTTTTATTTCATATATTCTTAACCCTGTTTACCATGTTGAGTTGTTGAGTGTTTGTCTTCCTCACTAGTGTCTCTTTCCTTCTGGCACGTATATCATGTTTTGCCCATCTTTGCATACTCAATCTTACAGCACAGTTTATGGGTCATAAATGCTCAGAATTATTAATTATTACTAAATTAGTTCTAATTGTTGTCAAAAAATTGGCATTTTAAAATCCTTTACAGCTTAATATACTTCTAATATATGGAGGAGGAAGAAAAAGTATTTATTGATTACTTATTTTTATGTGCCAAGGTGTAGGTTCTATGCTTCATATACATTATTTCATTTTCATATTCTATCTATATGACATATATAATATGTATAATAATTTCATATACATTATCACTTGTGATGATGACATCACAAAACCCCTGTATAATAGAAGTTATTATTTTCATTGCACATGTGAGAAAATAAATATAAGAACTGCTAAATAATGTGAGTTTGTTACATTTTAACCAGATTCCTCTGGTTAAAATGTAAACCAGATGATAACACTCCAAGGCCCAAAACTCTCTAGTGCTGTGCTGTCCAATATAACTAATGTACAATAGCCATTAGTTATATGGT